CAGAGGAATGTGCATTTGGGAGAGTAGGAGGCTGGTGGGACCCACAGGGTGGGGAGGCAGGACTGGATCCAAGACATCTTAAGTTCTTAGGCAAATACCTCTGCTGGGGCGCTGCTCCTCTTTTTCCTCTTGTAGGCACAGTTTCTCTGGAAGAAGATGCAGGTGCCCACCAACCTGACACTCAGGAATCTGCAGTGAGTAACTTGCATTGGCGGTGAGTTTAATTTGACTAACATTTTTTGAGCACTTATCATGCGCCTGGCACGATGTGGTATGCAATGGGAGATGTGGGGACGAAGGATGCCTCATCCCAGCCTGTGGGCCTTCTCTTGGCTCCTCCTCCCTTCACCCTCTTGCCCTCCCACAGGACCACAACTACCCTGATTAGTTTAAGGGACTCAGAAAACCTGTGGTCAGGTTCCGGCCCTGACACGTATTTGTGATCTTGGGCAAGTCATTTAACCTCTCTAAGCTTCAGTTTTTTTCTTCTATAGAATGAGAATTAAAACAGTACCTACCTCATAGGATGTGGTTGTGAGGATTAAGTGACATAAGGCGTATAAGGTACTTAATATATAGTGCCTGGCCCCGTGCAAGCTCCCAATAGACATTTGTTGTTGTTAGTTTGATCCAGTTCGTTAATCAGAACCACTGGCCAAGCAGCAATGAACAGGAATAAGTAAGTTACCCTAACCTCTACCCACAGTGAAAGAATCATGGACTTCAGGATCTAAAGACATAGCTCTTGGCTCAGTTTACCATGTTTGTAATAGAATGATGTTGGGAACGTCTCTTGACCTCTGTGAATGTTTATTTTCCTCTCTGATAAATAGTGATGATGTGGGGAGCCAATGAAAATATCTATGGAAAAACATTTCTCAAACTATAGGCTACCACAAATGAACATCTGTACTTGTGTCGAGAGTGTTGATACAAGGAGCAGACAGACCATGGCATGTGTTGAATGAGCATCTATCCACTCACAAACCTACAGGGCTCTGGGCACCCTGGCAGGGGGCATGTCGTGTGAGTTTCTGCAGCAGATCAACTCGATGGCAGACTTCCTCGAAGTAGTGCATATGATCTATCAGCTGCCCACCGGGATTCGAGGGAGCCTGGTGAGAGGGGTGCTTAGGCATTTGTTGGAGCAGAGAGGCAGGGACCCTGGATACAGAATCCAGCCCCCATGCTTAACTCTGTCCTGACCTGTTTTTCCACCTTGTCCTACAGAGAGCCTGTATCTGGGCAGAGCTACAGCGGAGGATGACCATGCCTGAGCCAGAGTTGACAACCCTGGGGCCAGAACTGAGTGGGCTAGACACCAAGCTACTCCTGGATTTACCGTAAGTAACTAGAGATACTGGCTTCTTAGGAGTTTCAACTTGGGGTAGAAGATCTGCCCTTAGGAAGTGCCCTTAAGGTGGTGGTTTTCTTTCTGATGGTTCCCTAACATCAGTTATAGCCCAAAGTAGAGGATTCTATTCAAAGTTGCTCTATGTATTGACTGGCTCCCAGAACATGGCCCCAACATGGGACAGCTGAGGGCGGGCAACACTATGATGTGGTCCGCCAAGCAATCATAATATAATAGGCCACATTAATAGAGATAGAATATCTGAACTGAGGGAGGCAATGGTCCAATTCTGCCCTAGAGGACTGTAGTCTGCTTAAGTAACCATGTTGTCAGTGTGTTCAGTGGAGTACAGAAAGAGAACATGTATGAAACATGCATAATAAATGCCTTCAAATACCCCAAAGGCTACCAAATAGAAAATAGATTGGCATGTTTCTGAAGGGCCCTAGTGGGCATCACAAGGATGAGGGAATAAAAATCAGATTCTTGCAAAATATAAGGAAAATTGAGGTAGTGAATTCCCGACTTCAACTTTCAAGAGCTATTCAAGCGTAGGCTGGATGGTCCCATAGCAAGAATGTTGTAGAGCGCATTCAAGTATGGGTAAGAGTTGTGGGGAGAGAAAACTCATGAACCTGAGTCCTCCTAAAACAGACTCTAGGAGTTTGTGAGTATCTCTCATAGGCTTCTTTTTCTATTTTACCCCCATCCCTACCCCATTGCCATCTGATCTGTAAGTCAGGGTAGAAAACGGCTGGTGTTAGTCTTCCTAGGGATGAGGTGACGATAAAAGCGGTTGACTCCATCCTTCATTTTTATAGGCCTTTCCACAGATTTTGGCCTTTGTGCTACATGGCCTAGTTCCAGTTCCAGAATTGGCAACCCTAGATAGAGTGTAAAATATCACTTCTAATTTTGGGACAAGAGGGCTTAAAAAAAAAATTCAAATCTGTTTAAATTTATTGGTCCTTGGAGATAATTTAGAATTCCAAGGACCTAGATAGGGTGAAAGATCCTAGACCATGAGTTGGAAGACCTGAGTTCCTCATCTGTGAAAGAAAAATACCTGTCTTACCTCAAGATCTTGTCATAAGGATCAAATGAGAGAATATCCAAAAGAACTTGGTAAACTGTGTAGCGCTATGCAAATGAGAGAGGACCTCCTCACAACAAGTAGAGGAAGGGTGGCACTGTGGAAGAGAGAAACCGGGAGTAAGATCCCACCACCTCTGGGAGCCTGTTTCTTAATCTATATGGGGCGGCGGGGGGGAGTTTTAATGATATTTAATATTTGGGGTTTGGGTTCCATTAGATGGTAGGATCATTGGTCATTTCTTCTCAGGAAGACTAGAAATATGTCATTCCTTTTGTTCTCTCCCTTTAAACGCTATGATGGGAATTGCATCTGGGGCAATTTGATATCAGATCCTGTCCAGGACCGTAAGGTTTGGTCTGATGTTACCTCTTTTGTCTGGGCAATGTGGCAATCTGTGGTCCCGTTTCAGCAGGGCTCATTTCTGAGGACCCATGTTGTCAAACTGCTGTAGGGTCCAGTTGATGGATAGACTGTCCAATGACTCTATCATGTTGGTGGTGGAGCTGGTACGAGGAGCTCCAGAGCAACTGCAGACACTGACCCCCCTCCACCGGGCAGCCCTGGCAGAGAGGGCACTACAAAACTTGGTAAGAGTCCAACCTACCAGACTCAGAACTGCTGCCTGGATAATATTCACCTCTCAGACAATGCTCTCTGTCTTCTAGGCCCAACCCCACACTTTTGATGCCGAACAAAATGTTCTTGTCCACAAGACCCTAGCTCCTAGATCTACCTCTAGGTTCCATTCCTTGAGAACCTGCTTCCTATTTCTTGTCCACATTCATGGGAGTCCCCAAAATTCCTTGGATTCCATCTCCTAGCCTTTCAGCCTCCTCCTATCTGGGCTCCTTATTTAAGGAAGTAAGCACTGCTATTGTTTTGCCATTGGGAACTGGACAGAGAGAAAAATCAAAGGTTTTGGTGTCTTGATCAAAGAGTCTGGTCCTGAGTCAGAGATGCATTATCCCAAGGCCTGATGCCCCTCTCCAGGCTCCAAAGGAGACAACAGTCTCAAGGGAAGTGCTGGAGACATTGGGCCCCTTGGTTGGATTCCTGGGGATAGAGAGTACACGACGGATCCCCCTACCGATCCTGCTGGCCCATCTCAATCAGCTGCAGGGCTTCTGCCTAGGAGAGCCATTTGCCACAGAGCTGGGATGGCTCCTGTTGCAGGAGCCTGTTCTTGGGTATGAACCTTCGGGAACTTCCAATTCTAACTCATCCTACACCCACCCTCTTAGCCACTATCATCAGTGGCAGCTCACTCAATACACTCGAGGTTCCTTGGAGCCCTGAGTCCCCAGTCCTTGCATGTCCTCTTTTCCCCTTCCTTTCCCTCACAGTTCTCTTAGCATCCCAGCCCCTGATCTTCTTCCTGTCCCCCAGGAAGCCGGAGTTGTGGAGCCAGGGTGAAGTAGAGCAAGCTGGACGCCTAGTACTCACTCTGTCTACTGAAGCTATTTCCTTGATCCCCAGGGTGAGGTGAAGGAACAAGGGAGGGAGTAAGAGCAGAGAGGGGACTGGAGAGCTGGTTCTGGGGAGCTAAGGCCAAGGAGGCTGAGGGCAAGGGATGTGAAGCCTGAATCTGGGGGAAACTGCTAAAAAGAGACAGGACTTTGGAATTACAGCTGCAGCAGCTGGCCCTGACCTTCCTAGGTCTCTGCACCCTCCATCTACCTTCTCACGCAGGAAGCCTTGGGCCCAGAGACCCTGGAGCGGCTCCTAGAGAAACAACAGAGCTGGGAGCAGAGCAGAGTTGGACAGCTATGTGGGAGGCCACAGCTTGCTCCCAAGAAAGCAGCCTTGGTAGCTGGGATTGTACGGCCTACTGCAGAAGATCTCCCAGGTGAAACTACCCAAATATTCATATGTCTATTGGGGTGTATAGGACAGAATATCCAGCAATGTAGTCACAAGTTTAGGCTCTAGGTATGCTATGCCCTTTAAGTAGATTTGCTCACTTTCTGTTCTCTGGGCTCGGGTTTTCTAATCTATAAATCAAAGTGATTAGAGGAATGATCTACAAGGTCTTTTCCAGCTCTAGGGTTCTATTGCCCTAGAAATTTAGAACCTATTGCATTTTTAGCCTGGGACTTCCCCTTTCCCATTCTCTTATCCCTGTTAACAGTGACCCAGCTTCTAGGCTTGGCTCTATGTTAGAGTATGGAGCTGTCTGCTGGGAAGATGCTTAGGGTGTAGGAGGGAGACCCTGTGGGGCCAGAGACCTGGGTTCTGATCTACACCTGCCATTAAATCCCTAGGCAACCTCCCTCAGTCTTCCATTTATACAATGAAAGGCTTGTCCTTTCTAGTCACTTACTTGGTCTAACATCCTTTGAGTCTTACAATTCTCACACTAGAGTAATCCTTTGGTCCATAGTGTCCACACTGCCCTATCCAAAGGTGGGAGGGAATCATTCCTTCTATAGATATTTCTCTGGGCATGGTTTAGTTCTACACTGACCCCCTGTGCCTGCCTTACCCCTTCAGAACCTGTGCCAAATTGTGCAGATGTACGGGGGACATTCCCAGCAGCCTGGTCAGCAACTCAGATTGCAGAGATGGAGCTCGCAGACTTTGAGGACTGCCTGGCATTATTTGCAGGAGACCCAGGACTTGGGCCTGAAGAACTACGGGCAGCAATGGGCAAGGCAAAACAGGTTAGGTTATGGAGAGGCCAACATGAGGAAGCTGGTTGGGTGCAATTATGGGACACAAGGGAATGGATAGCTGGGTAAGAGGTGGGAGAAACAGGAGATTAAAGAATTAGAGAGTTTGGATCCTAAGTAGGGAGTCAGAGGGGATGAGTATGGAGGAAAGGAAGCTAGTACAGTGGGTAGAAGGAAGAAAGCAGGGGTTCCAAAACTTACTGTTTATCGAAATTATCCAGGGAGCAGGTTTTTAAAATGCTGATGCCAGGGTCCCATGCTAGACTCACTGAAGAATCTTCTTAGGGCTCTAAGGTTCTGCATTTTAACAGGCATTCCCAGTGAGTCTGGTGCACATAAAAGTTTAGAACTCATGGACTAGAGTCTGCTATCTTCCCTACTGAGACTCTAGTGTCTTTCAGTAACACCTTAGTCAGAGGAACCTTAAAGCATCCTCAGCATACAGCTGAGGAAACTCAAGACCCAGAGAGGCAAGTGATTTGCCTACAGTTACACAGCTAAGGTCAGAAGTATGACTAAGACCCAGCATTCTGACTCCTAGACCATTGCTTTCCCATTCACACTGTTCTTCTCTTTCTCCTAGTTGTGGGGTCCTCCCCGGGGATTCCGACCTGAGCAGATCCTGCAGCTGGGTCGGCTCTTAATAGGTCTAGGAGAGCGGGAACTACAGGAGCTGATCCTAGTGGACTGGGGAGTGCTGAGCACCCTGGGGCAGATAGATGGCTGGAGCTCTGTCCAGGTAACACCTTCCCTTTTCCTACTACCTTCCAAACATCCATTCCACAGGTCCAGGCCTCCAGGTCACCTGAAGCCTAAGGAATTTTTTTCCTGTCACCCTGCCTGGCCATTCTTTCTATTTTTAAATACCCTCTACTTGTGGCATTAGGAACTCTGTGATTTATTCACTTTGAGGCCCCAAACAGGTCAAACTCCCTCCTGCCTGTTTTCCCTGGCCTTCTCTTCTTTGGATTCTTAACCTTCCCCACGGCTATTGGATCTTCAGGTCTTAATAATACAAGTATGTAATCCAGTAGCACTTGTCACTTCCCTGATCACTTCCTCTTCCATGAATTCCCCATGATTTCTCTCCTTATTCTGTGCCCTCCATCCCCATCCCAGCTCCGGGTTGTGGTCTCCAGTTTCTTGCGGCAGAGTGGCCGGCATGTGAGCCACCTGGACTTCCTTCACCTGACTGCACTGGGTTATACGCTCTGTGGACTTCGGCCGGAGGAGCTACAACATATCAGCAGCTGGGAATTCAGGTCACCTGCAGAGGGAAGGGTGTGGGTGGTGGTGCTGATGTAAAGGTGGACTCACTGGGGTTGGAAGGCTCACGAAGGAGTGGTCCCATGGAGTAAGGGACCTCACTTGAAGCCATCTATACTCCCAGCTCATGACCATGGGCCCTATCACTGTGGCTGAATCTTCCTCCCTTCCATCCCACTCTTCCACAGCCAAGCAGCTCTCTTCCTGGGCAATCTGCATCTCCGGTGTTCTGAGGAGCAACTGGAAGTTCTAGCCCAGCTCCTTGTGCGGCCTGGCGGTTTTGGCCCCATCAGTAACTGGGGGCCGGAGATCTTCACCGAAATTGGCACAATAGCAGGTAGGGAGGCTGGACCACTGCTGGTACTAGTTGTCAGGGTTTGGTTTCCGTACCATGGGTGGAAGACTGCTGTGGAATTCTTAGGGTGGGAGTCCAAGAAGGTATTTAGGTAAGAGGTTGGAGATGTGTTGGGAAAGGTGTATGGTAGGGTACTTTGGGAGAGATTGGAGAAGGTCTATAGGTTTGAAGAGAAGGGGGAAGGCCAGTAGAAGACAACGTTTGGATGCCCATCCCACTTGCTTCAACAGCGGGGATCCCAGACCTGGCCCTTTCAGCACTGCTGCAGGAACAGATCCAGGGCCTTACCCCTCTTGCTATTTCTGTCATCCCTGCTCCTAAATTTGCTGTAAGTATTGATGGGCTGGGGCATGCGGTGACCATGAAGAGCCAGGGCCCAACGGGGGCCACAATGGATGCACTGATTCCTGTCCCCGCCCCCAGGTGGTGTTCAGCCCCTCCCAGCTATCTAGTCTCACAAGTGTTCAGGCTGTGGCTGTCACTCCTGAACAAATGGCCTTTCTGAGTCCTGAGCAGCGACGAGCTGTGGTATGGGCCCAGCACGAGGGGAAGGAGAGCCCAGAACAGCAGGGTGAGTTCCCAAATGCACAGCCTGACCCGCCAACTCCTGACCCAGAATCTGACCCTGAACTTGGTGCTCTCTGACTCAGGGAGATCCCTGGAATAAAGGGGTCTAGGCAGATAGTTTCCATCTATCAGTGATTCCTGGGGAACACAGTTGTAACATTCCTCCCATTCTCTGTCTCATTATAGGTCGAAGCACAGCCTGGGGCCTTCAGGACTGGTCACAACCCTCCTGGGCCATGGCATTGACCATCTGCTTCCTTGGCAACCTGCTGCAAACCTGTCTCCACAGTTAAAGAGAGAGCTGTTGGGAAAGAAACTTTAATAAAATGCAAATGGAAATGCATTCTAATTATCCTCAGGAAGCTGATGAGGAATATGGGTAAAATGCTAATGCTTTCCACCCACCTGAGAATCAGTGTTCCTGGCATGCCATATCTGGAGTCTTCTTTCCATCATAAATAACCCCACTGCTTTTTTTCCTTTCCTGGAGGCTAGACCCTCCTCACCCCAACCATTAGAAATAACACAGACAGCTAGAGCATAGCAAGGAGTCTTTACTAGGACAGAAGGAGTTGGGGGCATCCAAGGCAAGTAGAATGGGCCACATTAGAATGAGCAGAACTCCTGGGGATCTTGAGTCATCTTCTGGGGAGGGGGATTTAATGTTTACTGTGGACAAGAGGTGGAGGGATGCGGATATCCTGGCCTCTCTCCAGACGCCGTTCACAATCAATCAAATAGTTTACTCCATCGATGACCAGCTGCACCAGCTCCACCTGAAGGACACTAACCCTTGACCTCTGCTTCCCATAACTTGAGTTTTATTCTTTAGCACTGATTTGCCTGCTCAAGGAACTCATTTCCAGTTGCCTCCCCACTCAACCTGAATTTCATTTCAGATTCCTGGGGCCCACTCACCGTCATATTTCAACCCCCACAGACCTATGCCTCTCCTCACCCTAATCCCTAAGGATCTCACCTCTGACTTGCCCAGTCGGTCCAAATTAGAGATGTCAAAAACACTGCCTGTGGCAGCTGTGTCCACTCCTCCAGTACCACGCTTTTGGAGCCTTAAGTTCTCCAGGATCTTTGGGAAGCGGCTATCCTAGAGGGGAGGAGATAGGGGTTGGGGCGGGGTCAATAGGGGGCAGAGACTTGTTTTACCCTGAACATGCTCAGAGCTCTTTCCCCTGACATTTTCCAGACATAATATGTCTGGCTCCTTTCCAAAATGCTCCCACCCTCCCATCCACACACAGCCACCTTCCTCACCCACACCCTGCTCTAACCCCACAATTCCTTTACTTTGCTTAGCAGGGGCAGTTTGACGTGCACTCCTGCCCGAAGTCCAGTGCCCAGGTTAGACGGACAGGTCAAGATGTATCCCAAACGCTCATTCCACATGAACTCCCAGCCACGTTCCTGGATCAGCCGCTCCACCTGAGTCCATAAAGGCTCTGTTAGTGAAAAGTCAGGGATATGTGAACCCTCCCTTAGCCAGACCTATAGGAACTCTAAAAGTATATCTAGAACCAGAAACTTGGGCTGTGAAAGAATGGCATTGCTGTGTGTGTGTGTGTGTGTGTGTGTGTGTGTAAGTGGCTTGTTATTATCATGCATACAAGGTAATTTTGATGTTGCAAGGCCATAATGGTGAGATTACAGCAAAATATCTTGTGTGTGGAAGAAGAGAAACTTGGGAGAATGATGCATTCGGGATGATCTAGGGAAATGAGTGGAGGTGGTAAACTGAACTGAGAAAGGGATGATTATTCAATGAGCTCAGCATGCATGGATTATCTTTGCTTTGCTAATGAGCCTAGAGTTTGGAAGGGTTCTTTCACACATAAAATGAGGGTGTAGGCTTTGCAATAGGAAGAGGCAAGAAAGCCTTCTGTTAGCTGTGGAAAAAGTACATGTGAGAAGGCAGAGAGAAAGGTGCAAACAGTCCAGAAGAACCGGACTCATACTTATGGGTGTGCAAGAGGGGTTGGAGAGGGGAGTATGGGAAGGGTGTTTTGTTTCACTTCAGCATCCTAATCATGGAGATGACCATTAGAGTTCAAGAGATGGGGATCTGCCAGAGTGATGGACATGAAAACTACCTAACATGAGTAAAGGGGACCCTATTCATAGTTCAGGAAAAAACCATGGCATGGGGGGAGGTTATCTAATAGGCTGAACAAGGGGAAACCCTTCCATTAAAAAATAATAACAGGGAGTGCCTGGGTGGCTCAGTCGTTAAGCGTCTGCCTTCGGCTTAGGTCATGATCCCAGGGTCCTGGGATTGAGCCCCGCATCGGGCTCCCTGCTCAGCGGGGAGTCTGCTTCTCCCTCTCCCACTCCCCCTGCTTGTGTTCCCTCACTCACTGTGTCTCTCTCTGTCAAATAATAAATAAAATCTTTAAAAAAAAAATAATAATAACAGGAGCTAACACTGAACATTTACTATGGGCCAGGCATGTTACATGCATTATCTCATTTAATCCCCACAACAACATAAAATGTAGGAAGCTTTACTATCCCAATTTTACAGATGAGAAACCTGAGGCATATCATTTGAAAAGTACTTCCCTACCCACTTAGAGTCAGAATATGTTATCTGTTATTTGCCAAAAACAATAAAAACTTCCCAGCTAGAATATAAAAGAGGAGGAGCTCTCTGTCTTTACAGGTCCAAAATAGAATTGTATATATGAGAACATACAATAAGAACTGGGTTTATGGGGATTTCTAATCTAGAATAGAATATGGAGACCTAATCCATGTAAGATTGAGGAATTCTGTAGAGCCACACATTCTGGAACTTAAGCCATTCCATCTTCCGTTTTCCCCGGTCTCCCTCCTACTCTCAGCTTAAACCCTAGACATGATACTTTAGCAAGAATGACAGAATCCAGAGCCAAGGCCTACCTTGGTTCAGAACTAGGTAGTTACAATGGAATCACGAATACACCAATCTTTCACTCCCTACATTGATCCAGGCTCAAACTTTTCCTTATCTGCACACTCCACACATCCCAGGCACTGACCCACTATCTCAGTTATTCCTTCTTTGTCTTATCTGGCAACTGCTTTATTTACCTTAGGCTCATAACATTCTTTCTCTCTATTCTTGGGTGACCATCTATCCTGGTTTTCCCTGGACAGTCCTGATATATTGTCCTGAAGTGATTGACAGTGATCCCCTTTGCCATCAAAAGTATCCTGAGTTGGTTGATAAATTATACAGTCTAGTCTTTGGTTTTTCCTTTATGTCCTCCCACCTAGTTCCCTTATACATTCTTCTCCAACCTCTTTGAGGCCTCGACAGAATCTTTCAAACACTCTCTTCATGTTGCCACCCTTCTCCATGGAGATGACCCGTGTATGATCCTCCTCATTCACCCAGATCAAGAAGTTCTTCTCATTGTTGTGCCTGAAAGCAGAAAAGAGGAAAAGACAGGGATCAAGAGGCAGGTCAAGAACTGGAAGAGATAGAGGAATAAAAGGCACTTAACAGCATGGGGACAAAAGAGGTAAGATAAGCCTCATACCAGATCCCACGAGCATCTGGCCAGTCTCGAGCCATTCCTGCTGCAGTCAGCAATGGGGACACAGGCTTATCAAATAGAAAGTGATCCTGAGGCAAGTAAAAGGACTTGGTTTAAGAATCTTCACAGTAGCCCCTGGGCCTCTGTCTCATCTGGCCCACCCTCCCCTCTGACTCTAATTTCCATCTGCTCCTCAACCCTGCTCCCTCTCAAGGCCCCTCACATCAATAAGCTGTTGCTGCTCAGCCTCTGTCATCTCACTGAGCCGATAGTAACGTCCAGCCAGGTCACCCTTCAGTCCACTCAGTGCATCCACTACAACACGTTCCACTTCTCGTCGCTCTGCCCGAGTGCAGGCTGGAGGAAGACTGAGTCCGCGGATACTTCGGCCAGTTCTGACTCTCGAGGACAATACATACCTCTCATCAAAGTAGCCAGAACGGATCTAGGGAATAAGAGAAATTAATATAAGTCACAGACACAGTGGGTGGGAACTGAGGACCTAGGGGAAGGAGAGACCTTAAGGACTGTAGGGACCCTCACTGCATGCACTGGAAGGAGAAGTTCAACGAGCAAGTACTCCAACTGAAGGGAGCATTATGAACCCTCCCTCAAACTGCTGACTTTGGGGTATGGTCATTCTCATCCACCCTCTCCTCTCCATATCCGCTGCTTCTTAAGATACAATTCCTCCCCCCACACCAACACTAAAAGCTCAGCAGTCTAATGACTCCGAGTCAGGAAATAATTAAGGTGAAGGGATTAGAGAAACAGTGTTGTACATAAGGCAATGCAAATCAGATGGGGAATATCTGACTTACCTTGCTGGCATCCAGGTCAGTGGTATGTTTCATTGTTTGGGGGTCATATCCATTGTGTCGCTCTTGTATCACAGGATCAAACAGCTCAGCAAATACCTGATGGGGAATTAAGAGGGAGAGGGTGGTTAAAAAGAGGAGATCCCTTTTCAGGCTTTAGTTGTGGATTGATTTCACTGGGTCAGAAAACGTGAGTATGGAAGGTCCAGCCTTAAAGGAAAGTGAAGGGTCTGTAGGGGGAAGGAGCTGGGATTACTGGGAAGATGAGTTGGGTCACCAGGGAGACTCTGGGGGCCCCCTACCTCATAGGTCTCCTCATCTCCAGCTACCATGCCCACAGTCTTGATGAAGGGGTGGCCGGGGTTGTCCACGCCAGTCTGGATACACTGATCTAGCGTCCAACCAGTGGGTGTGGTCTTGTCGCAGAGCCGGGCATAGACTGCTGGGGTCAGGTGACTGGCCATGCAGTTGTTGTGCTTTCGGAGGTCTGGGTACTCAGCGCTAGGGAGGGGGTACCCAGTAACCATGGAGGGAGGGCACAGGGGGCCTAGACCCAGTGCAGTCAGCTGGGAGCTATCCAGTTATCCATATCTGGCTTTGCTCCTTGTGAGGAGGAGAGATTAGAGGGAGCCTAAACCTTGGTAATCTCTTTAGGGACTTTCAGGGTCTATTCTTTCCCAACAGTTCTAGCTTCCTCTGAGCGACCGGCTCAATTCCCCCAGATTTGCTCAGTTCTTTCCTACCATTAGCACAGCATCAGGGATGGGGGAAGGGCAAGACCAAAGAGGGGAATTCAGGAAATGGGGGGAAACAGCAGGAAAGGAGATGGAGGAAAGCGAAAAGGATAGTTACTGGTCTCTCAATTAGGGATTTGGGCAGAGTAGGGGCAGCCAGAACTCACAGGGCCAGAACGGGTCTTGGGGGCGGGGACTGCGCGTTACAGGTCCCCAGGAATGCGTTAGCCTCACGGTTTTGGCCTCAGTCCCTAACCCACTGAGGTCTCCAGATTGCACAGCACTCCACTCCAGAGGCTTCGTGATTATAACCCTTCTCTGTTGCCCGGGTCCTCATCTCCATCCCCATCTTCGTTCCCGTCACCACCCCCCACCCCCCCCACACACACCCCTGCGCCTCAGACACTGATACCTCGGGGGATACAGCCTTCGTCGTTCACTGGCAGCTCTTACAGGTTCCGGGCGGAGCAGAAACCCAGCGGCTAGAGACCCAGCTCCAGCCAAAGCCAGGAGCCTGAGCCCCGGGCGGGCGGACAGCAGACGAGAGAAGGGACCAGCCATGGCTTGAGGGACCGGCTACTCAATCCCGAGGCTGGAGCTGGCGCAGGGCAGGAACGGGGAGGGAGGATGCAACCAGGAAGATTGAGGGCCGGAACTGGGTGCGAGGTTGGAGCCGAAATGGGGGCCGGAGTGGAAGCTGGAGCCGGAGAGGGAGCGGGTTCCAACCAGACTGCAGGAGAGGCGCAATGAGCTAGCGACGGGCGGTCGAGGAGAGGGAGGCCCCAGCCGCAGTCTCCAGGGGTGGGGCTCATGCAGGCCCCGCCTTTCCGCCTGCGACCGCGCTAGGTGTGCGGGGGCCGAGGTGGGAAGCACCGACAGGTAGATTAGGGGACCAACTCTAGGCTGGGGACGCGGACCCACCTGAGACGAGGTCGCCCAGATTTCAGCACCAAGTACAGGACAGCACCCGAGGGGACCCGCGAAAGGCTAAACACCCTTCCCCCAAGCCTCTCCATTTAATCGGGAACCCGATTCGTCACTCTGGGTGTTAAAGGGTGACATTGTACAACCTCTTCTCTAGTTTTCGGCCTTCCCCAGCAACCTCTTCATAATCTCAGGGGAGGCGGCCGTGGGGAGAAACCGCGGAATAAGTACAGATACCAGAGAAAGACAAGAAGGAAGCACACAGAGGCAGATAGTGGGAAAGACGCCTGGTGGCTCAAGGTCACCTTTTCCTTAGAACCAGGAAGAGGACGAAGGCACCCTTCTGCCACACCTGTGCTATTCTTACAAGGTTGTGGAAGAATTCCCTGAGAGGAACTCTAGAAACATTAACTCTTATCCCATTTATATTGTGTTCCCTACCCCCACTCAGCCCCCAAGCCTGAAGCCCTGTCCTGCCTCCACTTCTCATGATCTCCAGCTTTCCTCCCCCCTCCCCTCCTCTCCATCTTCTACTTCACCTTCGAACTTTTAATTCTTCGTGCTTTATCCAGCTTCAGAAGTGTTTGCTGCCCACAGGACTCCCTCTGAGTATTCTCTGCAAGCTTGCCTACCTGTTGGTCGCCCTGGGTATGGAGCTGGGGCTGGGCAGGGAATCGTTAGTTTCCTCTTTCTCCTCTCCCTTCTCTTCCCTCTTTGTAGCTTCCAGTTCCTGGGCTGGAGGGGAGTGTAAGGTGAAGTGAAGGGTGTGGTAAGATGACGACGTGTAGGAATGGGACAGGCAGGCACAGGTCTCCAACAACCACAAGTGTTGCTTCTCTTGGTTCCCTAATGCTGTTTAATACAGAGTGTAAAGGGGAGTGGTGTTCAAGGGCTAAAGTTGCCAGGGAATCTCTGCCTTCCTACTGGTCTTCTGTCCTCTCTCCTCACAAGGTGTGTATTCAGATTTGAGAGGGTGTGTTCCCACAGTTCAAAGTGTGACTTACGTGTGACTTGACCTTTGTCCTGGCAGGAAAGAGAATGAATGCTGGAGCCAAAATAGAGATGTGGGGCTTCAGTATGGAAAGTCAGTTAAGGTGGGGTACGTATGATGGTGTTAGTCCCTTCTCTCAGCTATCTTGGTGTACCCACAAGATAGTAAGATACTTGGAAATCTTATTTGAGAAAGATAAATTCCCTTCACATTGTCCTCTGGCCCCACTGATGAGACCCCACCCCTATACTCTGATTCCCTTTATTCCTCTCAGTCTTCTCCTGTGTTCCTTTTCCTCCCTTCCTCATTTCTTGGTATCCTTAGAAGCCATTCCCCTCTCTTCTGTGTCTGTCACTTAATTCCTTCTTCTGGTAAGAGAACAAATATCAGAGAATAGAGTTCTACAGTTAGAGTCACTTTTGGAGAGATGGAAAATGTTACCTGTGGACTCAGTGTCTAGGTTAAGGAGTAGTTATGAGCAAGCAAATATAATTACTTGGAATGGTGTATATTTACCCAGATAAAGAAGGGAGATAATCTTTCAGAGCAGTAGGGTTGTTATTTGATTGAGAGGGTGGTTACTAAGATTAAAGAGGTAGGAAACAAGAAGAGAGAATTACAGAAGGAAAAATAAGACTTGCCCAGAGGAATAGAGAAAGCACTCAAGTTTGGAGACTAGCTGTCCAAATTTGAGTACTAGCTCCGCTGAGAAAAGACATATATTTGTGTACTTTTCTTATTCCCTGTGAGCCTCTAACAGCCACATAATGTATTAATGCTCACTTTAAAAAATTATCCTATGGCATACAGGAAGTAATTGATATATATATATTTGATTTATTTAATGATAATGATATCAATACTACTTAACATTTATAAAGCACTTTACAATTATAAGGAACTCTTGTATGTATTATTTCATTGAACTGGATTGTTCCAATGGATGACCAGGGACTGAGCCTACATTTTTCGGGGGGCGGGGGAGGTGAGAAGACAAGTTAATTAACTAGAAGATGTTTTAATAACTTGTTTGAAGGGTTGGAGTGGTGGAGAGAACATGAGCCTGAGCAGAACTAAGGAGGATTCTATTTCCCTTAGGGACGGTCCTTAGAATCATCCCTATCTCATTCAGGATGCCTTGGGGTCAGTATAATGAGGCACCTGACTGAAAAGTGGTAGGATCCCTGAAGTTGCAGAGGAAAAACATGGAACTTGGGATTGTCTTGGCCAGGGAAACCTAAGTAAGAATGAAAAGATAAGAATAAAAATGCAGGGGCGCCTGGGTGGCTCAGTCGTTAAGCATCTGCCTTCAGCTCAGGTTATAATCTCAGGGTCCTGGGATCGAGCCCCGCATGGAGCCCCGCATGGAGCCCCGCATGGAGCCCCGCATGGAGCCCCGCATGGAGCCCCGCATGGAGCCCCGCATCGGGCTCCCTGCTCGGGAAGCCTGCTTCTCCCTCTCCCACTCCCCCTGCTTGTGTTCCTGCTCTCGCTGTGTCTCTCTTTGTCAAATAAATAAATAAAATCTTTTAAAAAAGAATAAAAATGCAAACATACAAAATGCTTTCATATAATCAGTACCTTATGATTAGGTTTTTTTAAAATATTGTATTTATTTATTTCACAGAGAGAGAGCACACGTGCACAAGCAGGGGGAGTGGTAGGCACAGGGAGAGGGAGAAGCAGACTCCTGTAGAGCAGGGGAGACCGATGAGGGTCTCGATCCTACGGTCCTAGCGGACGTTTAACCGATGGAGCCACCTAGGCACCCCTGATTAGGTTTTTAAACCACTCTCTTACAGACGGAGAAATGGAGGCTGAGGGAAGTTCAGTGACTTGTCCAAAGCTGCACAGCTATTAAAGGCAAGGCCAGGATTCAAACCCAGGTTTGTCTGGTTCCAAGGCTGGGGGAGGGGTAAAGAACAAGCCCAGTGTGAAGATGGGAACCGTCTTGCCCAGTCTTCCATGTCCATCCTTTTTGTTGTCTCCTCCATAAATAAGTGTCTTTGTTCCTTCCCTTAATTTTCCGATTTGTTTTTCTCATTGTCTCTTTTTGTCTCCAGTCTACTCTACATCTGTTAACATTTTCAACCTACATCTATTGGCTAAGTATGTCATACTCCTTTTGTTTTAAAAAACAAACAGAAAACCTGGTTTTGTTCTCAAGGACGTGCAATGGCACAAATTGTACCTCTTCCTCTGCATCTTGCTTCTTCCCTGCTCTTGGTTTCACTGTAAAGTCTCTGTCTAAACGAAGCATCTGAGCTGTGCCGACGCAGAAATCGGAGGAAGGGGAGCATCAGGTTGCACTCCCTCCCTACAGCCGCTAGGGGCCACCCTCCTCCACGCAGAAGTGCAGGCCAACGCAGCCTGACTCTGTTGCCGGTGCGCGCCCTCCGCTGATTGGTGACACGGCAGAGAAGCCGCGCTTTGATTGGGCTGCTGTCAGGTGTCGCTGACGGCAGGTTCGGCTGCGCGAACGCAGGGAGGCGGGTGAGCGAGGGCCGGGGGCGGTGGGGGAGTGGCTGGGGGCTGGGGGCGGTATCTGAGGCGGTGGGCTGGGTAGAGTGGGCTCTGGTGGTGCTGAGGGCAGTGTTTAGTACCGGCTGGGGGCAGCTTCGGAAAGAGGCCCAGGGAAGAGGCCTCAATGTCAGCGTAGGGAGAGTAAGGCGGGGGCGGGCGAAGGCTGGTGGAATCGCATCGGAGGGCGGCATTCGTGACCGGGAGCTGTGTGAGGAGAGACACCGGAGGGGGTCAGCAAGAGAAGAGAGGGGTTTGAGGATTTGCGGGAGGAAGAGGGAGTCCTGCGTGAGGAGCGGAGGCAGCAGGGGAGCGGGTCAGGGTGGGGAGGTCTGTGTGAGGAAGGGTGGAATGGAGTCGACGCGGGAGAGGATCGCTGCAGGCTGGGCTTGTTGCAGAGAGGAGGGGACCCTGGAGAGAGCTAGTGTAAGGACGGAATGGATCGTAGGCATTCTTTGTGGGGGATCATTGAGGGTTCGATATAAATATGTTACGAAGTGTGGTGACTCATCGACGGGTTTGGAGGGCTGCTTAATGCTGGAGAATCACTAAGTGAGAGGATTAGTTGGATTATTAATTGGATTAGTTGATCAGTGTGGGGGAGGGGCAGCAGTGTCGTGAGTGGTGGGGGGGGTCAGTGGAGAGTCATTTTAGCAAATTAGGGGAAGAAAGGAGCATGAGTGGGTTGATAAACAAGGGCATCAGCACAATTCATCAGTGTCAGAATATGGGTATATATGAAGGAGTAAGCATTGCATCTAGAGGGAATTTAGGTGGGAAGAAGATCGTGTTGGTGGCCTGAGGAGTTTTACTATGTTGGAAATATTCCTGCTTGGACTGTGTATTGAGGTTTCCCCTTCACCACTAATGGTGCCCTCTATTAAGTGCATGGTGATTAAGGAAATTCGAGGACTACTGCAAACAACCCTGAATTCTAAGGGATAAAAAAGTTACGCAGTTTACCCTCTCTTCTACCCCCTCTTCAGATCTGATTTAACATCTGTGTTTCTGAGATTACCCGTCTGCCCCATCCTCTCTCCCTACCTACCTATCTTCTCCCCACCTCTGACCCTCTCTTTTTTCCATCCGTTTGCACTGATTCAGGCAGGAGGTAGACTGCCCTTTAGTCTTTTTGTAGAGCGAGAAGTTTTCTTTTGTTTCGCAACAAAGTATTGAAGGAGAGGGGGTTGGGGAGAAGGGCACAGAAAACTGGGGAATAGCTCTTGGAATACCACATCAAATCCCAGCCTCTCTCAGAGGTACATCTAAATAAATCCTGGCTTATATCATAGCTATTTCTGTCAGGCTTCTATCTTTGCTTTGTTAAGTATGAATTTAGGCCTTTCCGTCTCTCTTTAGCCCCATATTTGTGAACAGACTCTTCCGCATTCTATTACCATCCTCTGTTATAAAGTTATATAATAGAATTTCAGGAAAATGACTATATACATTCA